TTCCACCCCTTAAATAATCTTTAATGTTCTTTTTTAAACCACTTCCAAATCTCTTAGTTGTGATTTGTACACACCACCCCAGCCTAAGATACCGTACCTTAAGTGCGACTATAACCCGTATGTAGTTGTGGGATTGATATTGGTTTAAGTAATTTAAAATAGGGTATCAGACATCTCAATTTTTTTGTAATATTTTGCACTTGGGAGTCCCACCTCAAATGTGGATCTAGCGTTATACCTAGAAATTTCGCTGACTTGATCGAGAATTGATTAAAATTTAACCTGTCCTATTGTGGTAGGCTTTTAACGTACCATAACGTGTCATTACGTTGTGTTTTTCAATATTTAATGTTAATAAATTGTAATCAAACCAATCCCTAACGGAAACAAAATCCTTCTTAATAGTAGTTTTCAGTGACTCCCATGTAACATGGGCCATGTTGTACCCTTATAAAAGAGTGGTATCGTCAGCAAAACTTAAAAGTTTACCTTCCGTTTTAACCCTAAATAAGTTATTTATGTATATCTAACCAAAACTCAGCAAACAGAGTGACGTCAGATGACGTGTTTCAGACGTCGTTTATTGGTGATCTTTCGTCATCGCCTTAAAGGTACCAGTTATGTGACAAGTACGGCCCTATTAAAGTAAAATTGACGTCATAAGATGACGTGAGTTAACGTCATCTTTTGACGTTAGTGGACTTTGATATTTTGCTTTAAAAGTGACTTGATAAACACGTCGTGTTTTAGTTATTCACTGACGTGATTATAATACACAGAAAAAACGCTAGCATAGCATGAATGGGTGAGCCATTAAACCAATGGGATCTTGTAATCCGTATTCCTAAATAACAGTTCCTATAATACCAATAGGTAGTTAGCACTTGGTTTATAATCGTTTACTGTTTTTAAATTAACAACAAAAGTTATCGCTCCTAAATCTATTGATATTCATATTGATATTTATTTGTTAGAATTGTAGAATGTTATTGCATTAAATACTAATTTGATTTATTTAATAACGTTACTATTGTATTTATACTATGTGTTCGCAATAAATTCTTTGACATTTAGGCAAAATATTTCCCTATTTTTGTTTAATAGTAATTAATTCAGCAAATCGCCACCTGAGAATAAGATTGTTCTATCTCCCAAAATTTTAAGAGGAACAAATAGCAGTTTAAAGTTTAATTTATATACAAATGAAATTTTAAAAAGCTGTTTTTCCGTGTCAGATTTTTGAAAGATAGAATCTCCCAAAACCTAAACACGGAAAAACAGCTTTTTAAAATTTCATTTGTATATAAATTAAACTTTAAACTGCTATTTGTTCCTCTTTGAATTTTGGAAGATAGAACAATCTAATTCTCAGGTGGCGAAATAACAATTTAGATTTCTTCAATTTTAATGCGTTCAATGACAGCGCTGTTCTTGGTACTATGTTAGATTTTTTTCTGTGTATACGTCATAAGATGACGTTAGAAAACGTCATTTTTTGACGTCAGTGGGCTGTGACATTTTGCCCTAAAAGTGACGTGTTAAACACGTCGTTTTTCAGTAATTTACTGACGTCATTACGTCGATAGATGACCGGATTATGACGTAATATTGACGATAATTTGTTTGCTGGGAACGGTTTTGGCGTACAGTAAAGGTGTTTCCACCCTATTTCCAAAGTGTCGCAATAAAACAATCTAACGATTATTTTACCGTTCAAACACTACACTTAAAATGGAAACATTTTATTTTAAATTTAATTTTGGTAACTTTTTTTCAGTTGAGCTTTTTCTACACATATGCATAAAAATTGAAGCAATCTAAATTGTTATTTGCACAATTAATTAGTAATAAACCAAAATAGGGAAACATTTTGCCGAAATTATAAAGAATTTATTGGGTTAAATGTAGTATATTTATTAGTTAATTAGTAAAGTTATTAAATAAATAAAAATATTATTTAATGCAATAACATTCTAACATAAAATGAAAATAAATATCAATATAAATATCAATAGATTTAGAAGCGATAACTTTTGTTGTTAATTTAAAAACAGTAAACGATTACACAGTACGACAAAATTTGATTTTTGGTCCCTCCCATGAAAAATTTCTACAGATTCTAAAAATAGAGTTAAAAAAATGATACCCGTGTCTCGGCGTTTTTTCACATCACGTCATAATTTTTTTTTAAGGGCTATCCAATAAAATGTTATTCACACTATTCGCGACATAATTTAATAGACTCGATAAAAGCTGGACTGCATAGTTAAAAATATATATATTTACTAAATGGATAGGCAACCATTATAGATGCATTTTAAAATTATTTTAATCTTATACAGACTTTTGCACATTATATATCAAACGGTTTATTTTTAAACCAAGTAACAAAATGTTTCAATTTTAAGCCAATCAAAATGCTTTAAAGTCGGGTGATTAAAATTTTTATTTATTCAATTTTTTGTAAAAATTGAGCTTTGTTGATTAACATTTTTAAAAAAAATTAAAAGATATTTAAATGAATTGATTTAAGTCTTAAAGCAAGTGTACCTAAAACATTTAATTTAAGTAAAAAAAGTATTTAAGTATACGAAGTCAATTGAAACAGCAAAAAAAACAAAAAATTTACACATCTGCGGCATTTATACATAAAAAGCATTGTTTTCAAAACAATCTTTATACGAGGGTAATACTTTTTTTTTAAATGTTAAATAAAAACATTATTGCAGCGATAAATCGATAAATTTTTCATATTAATTTTGATTGTTGAGTTAACCATCCATTTGAAATCAAAGTAAAAATGCAGTGTCCGAATCGAAATAATTTTTATTATGTATGTGGTTTATTTGCACCTCCAAGCCATATGCGAAATATTTTGAAGACTATTTTTTGGTGACGTATATATACCAAACTTATGGTATGTACCAGAGGTTTTATGCGATTATTGTTACCGTTGTTTGCATGTATTGCAAGATAAAACACACAGTATGAAATATGTTGCACCAACAATTTGGCTTCGACCCGTCGCGACGTACCGAACACGCATCTGACCAGTGTTATTTCTGCATGTCAAAATTAAAAAGTTTTGGATTTCGGTACAATACTAGAGAGAAAATTGATTACGCCGATGTAGAATCCGTCATTCTCGCAAGAGTGCCATCTGAAGATTATCCAACTGCTCCTTCAGAAAACATATGTGAGGATAAAAGTAAAAGACCTTTAACACCCAGTACAACCATTTTTTCCGAGATGGAATCTGAATTTATTCCCTGTAGTTCGGGTTATAAAGTACATTTTATAACACAGGACATGAAAGTACATATGTCACTGAAAATACATTTTCTCCATGCTCATTTGGACTATTTTCCACCAAATTTGGGCGATTTTAGTGACGAACATGGCGAACGTTTTCACCAAGACATTTTAACAATTGATAAACGCTTCAAGGGAAAAGACGTCAGGCATTTGCTGGGTGAATATTGCTGGTCAATTGTTCGAGATTCTGAAGCAATATACAGCCTGTTTAGAATAAACCGAATATATCTATATATATATATATGGGGCGTGGCCTCGCCTCCCTCCAAGGCGCGTCACAGTTGCTTGTGTGATAAACGACATGACGAAAGGTCGAGCAGGTAAGGACTTAAAAAATTAAATGATAATAATGCAAAAAATCTCATTAGCGATGCAGTCTATTTGCTTAGCTACTGTGTCGCGCGTTGGAGGGAGGCGAGGCCACGCCTTATATATATAGATATATTCGGTTTTAGTCTGAACGAGCTGTATAATCGTCAAACTAAACGACCAAGATTTTATTCCAACATGTATTGAATATAAGATAAATACAAAAATGTGTTTCATTAAAAAAAAAAATAAAAAAAAATTATTTAAAAAAAATCAAAATATAAACTTTTTTATATTTGTTTTTTGTATTGTGTAAAAACATACAATATTTACAAGAAAATATATTTTTAACCGAGTAAAAAATGTAAAATCTGTATAAGCGTAAATAATAGGAATGACGGCTTAAAATTTTTTTATGACGTGATCTCGTGAAACTGTGAGACACGGGTACGTTTTTTTTACCTCTATTTTCAAAATCTGCTAACATTTTTCATGGGAGGGAAATCGTGTTGTACTGTGTTATAAACCAAGTGCTAACTACCTATTGGTATTATAGGAACTGCAGTTCCTATAATACCAATAGGTAGTTAGCACATGTTATTCAGGAATACGGATTACAAGATCCCATTGGTTTAATGGCTCACCCATTCATGCTATGCTAGCGTTTTTTTTTACATCATACAGCATCGTTTGAGAGATCATTTTCATACAACATTTACTGGCTGTACAATGGACTGTCATTACTCCTTAAAAACCTTAACCTTTCAAACTTTAAGTTTAAATTTAAAGAAATATTATTTGGTAGCCAACTTAAGATTACTTTAGATTAGTTATAGTTTAGGCTTGTTCATGTTTAGTGTTATTTATATCTAGATGTTGTCTTAAATTTATTGGTTAGCTATTTTTGGCTCGCAGAAAGCCTGTTGCGGGCGTATTATTTATTTATTTTATTTAGGATAATGCCATAGTGTTAAATTGTTTAAATGTCTATTTTGTAAATTATTTATAGTTGTTTCTGGGCTGAAACTTGTATCAGTAATTACTGTCTTTCAGTCCTTTTTGCAGAAATGTGCAATTGTATTTTATTGTAAATCATTGATTTATATTTTTACAGTTACTGCAAATAAATTATTATTATTATTATTATTATTTTCTGTGTATAAACTGGATAATTTAGCGTTAGATACTTTTCAATTTGACGCTATTTTGTCTAATTTTTTTAATTTTTTGTACATTTACACTAAACCTTACAATTTTTTTTACAGAATCTGATAACCCTTGTGGTTTATTATAATAACAATCCGTATTTAGCTTTTAAAGTTTAAAAACAATTTAATTTTTTTTATAAACAAACACATACAATAAAAAAAAATTACCGTTTAGTACATGGACAGTGACATTGGCAGGTCTGGCGTTTGACGGGTTGCACTGGTAGTTTCCAGAATCTGATGGTTTGGCCTTCTGAATCAGCAGAACGCTTCTACTCGTCTCTCCTCTCTCTGTAGCAACACTTACGCCACCCCTTTGGCTTGAATAGCTTATTATCTAAAAATGGTGTATTAAATTATTATCTTAATTATTTTTTTACAATGCCTAATTATACAGAGATAAAATGAGGTTGTTATTCTTTTTTTTGTTAAATTAAAAATTATTTTTTTGAAACAAATAAAAAAGAAATCTTAAACAAACAATCAGAGGTTGTTATACAAGAGTGCTTATATCAAATATTTTATTCATTAATTTAATGTCTGAACTGCATTAATTGAAATCTTTGAACATTTTTGTAGTAATAAAAATGTATATTCAAAAACTTTACAAGTAAAAAAAAATTAGGAAACATTTCGAGAGTTTTAAATAAAACAATTCCCAGTAAGCACCAAACACTCGGCAAACAATCGGCCTTCGCTCGGCATAGGCGGTTGACCGGCGGATCGGCTTGCCCCAGCCGGACGGCTTACGGCCCGCGTTATATTACCCCGGTACCGTTTAGCTATGTCCTAACCGAAGTCGGTCAGAATACGGCATGCCGCTGCAAAATACTTCGGTTTGCTTTAGGCGGCCCGCTTACGGCTGGATTACGGCCGATACATCTCACGGCTGTTTACGCACACGCGAGTTAACTGTAAATAGCGATTGGTATCAATATTTAGTGGGAAGTGTGCGTCCGTAGGCTTTTTTTGAATGGCCAGGCAGTTTTGTCGGGTCGCACGCGGCCGATTCGGCAAAACGTATTCGGGCCGTATGCGGGCTAGCTTTTGCTAACCGGGATTATGCACATTGTTCGTATTGAATGTGCAGTTGTCTCGTAATAAGTTTTTGTTGTCCAATCAGAGCAATTGTCTTCCGTTCATAACCCAGTGGGGCCAAGCAGTTCCCCCCCTAAATTTTAGAAAAAAAATGTTTATAGATATAGAGAGTTCATATATAAATATATGAAAATGGCATAACATTTTTATTGGATAAAAAGTCAGATCAGCTTATATCAGGGTTATATTTTTATTACATTTATTTATTAGAAATTACAGAATATTTACCAATATTTAGGTATATTTTACAATATGTTTTGAAATCACTCTAGGAAAAAAATGTATTGTTGGCAACATAAACAATCAGTATTTTACCTGATAAAGTAAATTAAAATAAATTAATTTTAAAACAGAAATTTCCTTCTTTATCATAATACCTACTTTTAGGTAAACAAATTGGATTAAAAAAATAATCAAGATTATTCTAAAATTATTTAAAATTTTAAATAGTGTTGTAATTATAATAATAATAATAATAGACATAGGTACATATGTCATTCTCAATTAATAATTTTAAAAAAATTGACGAAGTTTTACATTTTTAGATATTTTCTAAAAACCATTTAAATCAATGTACAACTCGGCAAATGTAGAAAGAGACTTAAGATATGAGCCAGGTGCGCAAATTTTAAAGAGAGAACGCATTCGGAAGAAAAGAGATCCATGATACGGCCGAGATCAGCCGCACAAAGGACTAAAATCCACAAAAAGCGGTTTTACGTGGTATTTGTAAAATTTTAAATTATTAAGTTATAAAATAGTTAGAACACAGCATATGCTGTGGTTAGAGCTAAAAAATTATTAAAGTTTAATGGATGTAACTAATAAAGATTTTAATGACAACTACGGACGGTGTAACAACATTATTAAAGATATTTAAGAGTAAACAATAGTAAATTTTTGATTTACTTTGAATTTTTTAAATTTACTTATACAATTGGAATAGATCAAATAGGTAAAATTTTCTACCTTAATATTATATATATATGTATATATATACATATATATATAATATATATATATATATATTATTATTATATATATTATATATATATATTCCCTATATATATATATATATATATATATATATATATTTATAGATATATAGGGAAAATAAAGTAACTTCGTTACAATTGTATTATACTTCGCGTCAAATTTAACGCAAATTTGCCACAATTTTAAAGTTGATTTTCTCGCGAACCGTCAAACCGAATTTGGTAGTTTTTTTGTTTATTTTTACTGGACTATAGCTAAGGAAGCATCGGGTTTTCGTAACGTGCGCGCCATCTGGAGGTGCTTGATAGCATTGTGAGAATTTAAGAATTGTCAACAATACATTTAAAGCATACGAACTGCATATCAATTTTAAATAAGTAAGTAGTTTTTTCACGACAGAAGAAGAAGTCTTACTCGACAAATTTTGTTCGCAAACTTTGAATTGCACAGCTTAATCGCGCACGGTAGTTGTGTTTCGCGTTGCAGGTAAAAACTTAAAAACTTTGGTTTAGTACTCGATTTTTTTTGATTTATTATTCCTTATATAATTGATTAAGAAATTCAACGCTAATGTATATGCTTATATATAGTTACGTTTGTGTGTGTATTTTATCTAAGTGATCATGTTGAATTATTGTGTTTTTAATTGTAAATGTAATTTAAGAACTAAATGGTTGCATTTTTATATTTTGCCAAAAGATCCAATTCGGTACGTATATTTGTTAGTGTAGATTCTACACTGTAGAATGAACTAATGATATATTTACCTAATATAATATATATTTAAATTTGGACAAATCCAACAAAAAAATATTGCTGTTCAAACATAGGTTACCTTACTTACCTTAATAAAAAAAATTATATTTAAGTCTTTTAAAAAAACTGCCGACAACTGCATTTTAAAATATATCTACGAATTAATGGCAACATAATATTATATATAACACATTATATAATAATAATGCATAATGCTGTTTGAATTTATAAATCATCAATAAAATGTGTATTTATTGTATCTCATAATTATATTAACTGTATACTGTATTGCATATATGCAATTTATTTCTTCTTTCGGATTTCCACTGTTTATTATAAAACTCAAGCCAGAATGGAAATTCTGGAATCTCGGAATCTCGAAAAATACCCAACAACACAACATTTCATTCCACGTTGTTTTTTTTTTAATATTTTTAACATTTTATTAACTTTATTCAAAAACATTCCTTTTTAACATACGCGTTTAACAGCTGCTTATTAAAAGTTGTTACCATGATAACAGCCACGTGGTGGCCCTACTAGCGATGCCTATTTAGCGTATTGTATTTTATATTAAATTTTGATAACACTAAGTAGTTTTATTGTTGTTTTATAGACGACTTAAGAGTACTGGAGCTATAAAGACGGTTTTATAAATAAATTGGCAAATTATGCAAGAATAATAAAAATAAAGCTTAATTCCGGCCCCGAGTACAGTAGACAATAATAAACATTGAACTTTTTTAAAGTGAGGGGGGCCCCTTTTGATGAATTTGCCACGGGCCCCAGCGGTGATTGTTACGCCACTGTATCTCTGTGCAATACCTGTTAGATATTGCATACACGGTACGTGTAACACGTAACCCTTTTAATAATTTTAAATAATAAATTACTTTGGTGGGTAGGATTGGTTTTAGATTTTTCACCTAACCACAGTCTATCCAAAAGGAGGGTTATAAAAATATATTCAAAAATGCACAAATTGGTCTCTCATCTAAATTTTTTATATATTACATTATATATAAATAAAAAAATTCTTAAATTTGCTATGATTCTACAGTCATTTCTAAAACAAAGATAAAACAAATTTATTTAATGCCTACATTAAAAAATCATTAAGTAATGCCCGAGATAGCATTCTCGCTAAAAGGGCTTTTTTAATAACTAAGTAAAAGTGTATTTAAAATATTACAGTCATTATTCTTTTTGCATTTAAAACTGAATTTTTATTATTATTTTTTAAAAACAAAATATTAAACTTGAAACGTAACCCTACCATTTAAAAGATTTAATTATGTTTGTGATTCAATTTATTTTAAGTAAGATAGTTTATATAAAAATGTTTAATTTTTTAAACATTTTGTGCCATCCTTAATCCGAAACTTTAAATGTAATAAATAATCAGAAAATTAAACTGGCTAATTTGGAGAATAATAAAGTTAAATTTACAATTCTCCATCAGTGCTAAATCAGCATTGCTGATTTAACTACGGTTGTGCGTACATCGGCTGTGTAAATTAGTGCGTTTTAGTGGGTTTTAATCAACAAAATTCATTTGTTAACAGACAAAAGCGTGCCAAAAGTGTGTTCCAGACATACACGCATCCTTTTATAGATATAATTGTGGAAACAATAGACAATTTGGGTCACCCGGCAATACCGATGCACATGCAAAAAACAATTCTTAAATACAAACAATTGATTACAATAATAAATATAATACAAAGGACATTGCTCCCTATTTTGTTCATGTTGAAAATAAAGATAACAAATATAGACTTTTTCCTCTTAGAGTAGGACAATATTTATTTGCCAGTAATACTTTTAAAAATGCAATTGATAACATACAATCTATAGGCTATAATAGAGTAAAAGTAACTTTAAAATCATTAAATGCTGCCAACGATTTGGTTAATAATAATATTTTGACATCTAATAATCTTATATCGTACATTCCAAAATTATTCGCATGGTAGACACTTTCTTTGATGAAAAATATATCATGGGAAAATATTGAATCAGATATTAAAGTTCTTGAGGTTAAACGTACGGTACGAAAAACATTTGAAAACCGCGAAGAAAAAATTATAAAAAGGCAAGTTGTCATTGTGCTCTCGGCTCTCGGCTCCCTAAATCTTTTAAAATTAATCTATGTCATTTTTCTGTAGAACCATTTATTTACCCCATAGTACAGTGTCGTAAATGTTTACATTATGGTTATGTAGAACAACAATGTAAAGGTGAAACTAAATGTAGATTTTGCGCAAATAATCACCCTTCAAATGAATGTCCTAAAAAAGAGCATCTTTATTGCATTCACTGCCAATCTGATAGCCACGGTAGCACTACCAAAACTTGTCCAAAATATAAAACCCAATATAAAATTAAAGAAACCATGGCATACCGCAATCTTTCATTTAAAAAAGCAGAGATAATAGTAAACAACCCTTCATATGATAAAATATCAAACAATAATAGATTTGCTCC